CTCGGTTGCAGTTCGTCCCCAGCCCCGGTTGGGGTTGTGCAGGTGGCAACCAATCAATGTGTTTCTCTCACATCGATGTTTCTCTCTCTCTCTCTCTCTCTCTCTCTCTCTCTCTCTCTCTCTCTCTCTCTCTCCCCCCCCTCCCTCCCTCTTTTCTTCCTGCTCTATCTAAAGATTAATGTAAAAGTATCCTTGGGTGAGGATTTCTCTCTCTCTCTCCCTCTTCCTCACTTCCTCCCTCCAGCTCCATCTGGAGATTAATGTAAAAGTATCCTTGGGTGAGGATTTAAAAAAAAAAATGTTACAAGGTGTCCCTGAATCTGAGCAATCAGCAGAAATGGGTCCCTGCTTTTGTGTCTGGTCAGTGTACTGGCCAAGCCCCGAGCCGCTGGGAGGCAGTGATGGCTGGGCTCACACGCCTCAGAATGATGTCTTAATGCAGACCAGCTGAGGAATTTCTCCTTTGTAGGCGCTTAGCTTTTCTAATATGTGCTTTTCCCCCTTGAGGTTTCCTGGAACAGTTACTCATGCAGTTTCCAACCACAGGCTGAGTTTAAAGTGTTTCTTCATTCTCATTGTTTTCAAAGAACTTGTGCCTCGTGAAACCAAAATACCAAAGGAAAATATGGTCAGTTTTCTGATTTCAGCAAAATCTCTTCAGCCACTTTGGCTCTAGAAGTCGTTCTCCTTCCACCCCCGGCAAATGCTACCCTGGTTGCTCCTCAGGCCATGACCCAGTGCTGGGTTTTCAAAACAGAACGGGCTGGGCTGGGGACAGAACTGCAGCGGGGGAAACATCCCATGGCCTCTGGCCTCATGGTGACCCCAGAACTTGCTTCTCACACCTTCTGTGACAGGAAAGAAAGGATCATGCTCTAGCTCTGCTGGCCAATGTGAGTCATGGAGAATGGAGAAGTCAGTCTGTCTCCAGAAGGGTGGTCCGCTGATGGCCTCACAGGCCCTGTGGATCTTGAGACGAAAAGCTGTCTCATCTAAGAAGAAAAGCACAAGGCCACAGAAAGGCCTCGGGGTCTATATCTTGATAATTGCCCCAAACTGGAAACAACTTAAATGCTCAGCAATAAGGGAATGAATAAACAAACAAGTACAGCCCGACCGGTGTGGCTCACTGGTTGAGCATGGACCCCTGCACCAAGAGGTCACCAGTTCGATTCCCGGCCAGGGCACATGCCCAGGTTGTGGGCCCGATCCCCAGTGGGGGGCATGCAGGAGGCGGCCAATCGATGTTCTCTCTCATCAATGTTTCTATATCTCTCTCTCCCTTCCTCTCTCTCTAAAATCAATGAAATAAAAAAAGGAAGGGGCCACTGATCTATGCAGTGACATGGATGAATCTCACATACACACTGCTGGCCGCTCCACAGCGCCGGGCTCAGTAATGAGGGCTCTGTTCTCCCTGGAGTGCAGCTGTTTTCTCCCTACAGCTTTCCTTTTCCTCTTAAATCACTTTGATTGAAGTATTGTTTACTTACAATAAAATGTATCCATTTGAAGTATACAGTTCAGTAAATATAACAAATGTATTCACCCATGTAACCACCACCCCAATCACGATTTGTAACATTTCTACCACTCAGAAAGTGTCCTGGGGCCCCTTTGACAGCGGCCCCCTCCCCATCCTCGCCTCCAGGCAACCAACAATCTGCTTTCTGAAATATAGATGGGTTTTGCCTGTTCCAGAGCTTCATGTAAGTGGAATCAAGTAATTATTTTAGTCAACATTGTGTTTGTGAGGTTCATCTATGCTGCTCTGAATATCGGTTGATTGTTCCTTTTTATTCTGAACAGCATTCCGTTGTATGAATGTACCTCGATCTGCGTACTCGGTCACCTGCTGATGGGCATTTGTGTTGCTTCCAGTTTTCACCTGTTTTGACTAAAGCTGATGTAAGGACTGCTGTGCAAGTCTTTTTGTGGACAAATGCTGTTTTGTTGTTGTTGTTGTTGTTTTTATCCTCACCCGAGGACACTTTTTCCATTTTTTGTTCAGACAGAGTGGGAGGGAGAGGGAGGAAGAGAGAGAGAAACATCAACGTGAAAGGGACACATCGAGTGGCTGCCACCTACACGACCCCACCAGGGCCGGGGACAAACTGCAACCGAGGTACATGCCCTCAGCGGGAACCGAACCCCAGTCTCTCTGGACTACAGGCCAATGCTCTAACCACTGAGCAACTGGCCAGGGCGACATGTGTTTTCGTTTTTCATTTATCTAGGAGTGGAATTCTTGGGTGAAATGGTAATTAGATGTAGACCTATAGAAGAAACTGCCATATTGTTTTCCACAGTGGCCAGACCATCTTGCATTCCCACCAGCAGCATGTGAGAGTCCCAATTGTTCCGCATCCTTACCAACACTTATTATTGACTGTCTTCTTGACTCTAGCCATCCTAATGAGTGTGAAGTGGTATCTTATTGTGGTTTTCACTTGCATTTCCCTGATGTCTAATGATGCTGAGAATCTTTTCATATCAGCCATTTGTATATCTTCTCTTTTTTTCCCCATTGATTTTCTTAAGAGTGGGAAGGAGGGAGGGGGGAGAGAGAGAGGAACAGCAACAGAGAGACACTTTGATAGGTTGCCTCCCACGCAACCCCGACTGGAGCCAGGGATCGAACCCACAACCGAAGTATGTGCCCTTTACCAGGAATCGAACCCACAACCGAGGTATGTGCCCTTTACCAGGAATCGAACCCACAACCGAGGTATGTGCCCTTTACCAGGAATCAAATCCACGACTCTCTGGTCTCCTGAGCCAAACTGACCAGGGCTGTATACCTTCTTTGATGAAATATCTATTCAAATTTGTTTGCCTGGTTTTAAAAATTGGGTTATTTGCCTTATCGTTGAGTTTTAAGAGTTTTTAAATACATATGTGTGTGTGTATACACTGCTACAATATCTGATAAAGTTCTGGATGCAAGACCTTTATCAGATATTGCAACGGTTCTAACCTGGGTGGCTTCACTCGTTCAACAAACAAACCCTTATGAAGTACCTACTATGTCTTAGACTCTAGACTGTGAGATGAATAAAATACAAACCCTGGCCCTCTTCAAAGACTCGCAGTTTGGAGCAAGCCGATGGTGAAGGACCCTGTAAACAGTTGCGGAAATGGGATATTATGCTGTGACAAGTAGGGGGAGTCTGGAAGAGGTTGACAAGGGGGAGAGGGGGAGAGACCTGGCCCTTCCAGGCGACCTTTGTGTCCAGAGAATTTGTTTCCGTTTTGCCCCAGATCTGCCCTGCTGCGAGCCACTTCGGATTTGTTTCATCAGGCTCATGTAGTCATTTTTCTCTTCTTGAAGAGGTAGAGTTCTATCCCTGCCTACTTCTCGGGAACACGTCGTCCGTAATCCTTGTGCCTTGTAGTCAAAGGAATTATTATCTGTGCTGCTGAGTGTGTTTTAAATGAAATGCCAGGGGATGTGGAGATGGTCATTAATTTTAAGTGCATCTATTGTTAGCCAATGATGTCACCACTAAGCTCTCCAACTTGTCACAAGAAGTCTAGATGGATTTCAGTTTCTCTGCAGCAGAGACAGTTCCTGTTTTGCAGCAGGCGGGCTATGAATATTGCCTGCGCTCTGCGAGCAACAGGAGAGCTTTCTGGTGCACATTTAAAACAATACTGGCTTTTGGAAGTAAACATTCTGTCCCAGTGAGTCAATCAAACTTCATATCCTTTTCTAGGTAGGGGGGATTGGCAAGGAGCTGGCTGTTTGTAATTATATAAATGTCAACCTCTGTCCTTTGCAGGATCCTCGAGGTAGGCAGTCATGTTCTATTTATCATAATGTTCCCTGTGCCTTGTTCCAATTTTTTTCTCATTACTTGTTGGGTCTTCCATAAAAGAATGGAAGTTTCTCAAGAACAAAACCTATGCAATCATCTCGCATAATATCCCTTGAGTGTATTGAAGGTACTGTGTGTACCTGTTGACTCATTGAATAGAGCAAATTCAGCTTTTTGAAAAGATCGAATAAAGAGCCAAAAAATTCTATTACCATTTTAGAATTATCGGGGAAAATTTTCTCTGCTAGCACTGCTATGACACGGGTAGTTACAACTTCAGATAATTATATTCACCCGAGGGTCAGAAAAACAGATTCTTTGTTTAGAGTTTTTTACTGCAGAATTTAACAAGGGATTTGTTTTCTTGGGCTACCTCGGTTTTGAGCACCTAGAGCTGTAGAGGTGTAGGAAAAACTTTGTGAGGAGTTTTATTAAAACCCACAGAACAACAGGGCAAAAACTTGGAAAAATTTTTTTCAACATCCATCATCACACAGTTCCAACATGATAGTTCCCATTTTTTCTTCTTCCTTTAGGAAGATGGTTTCTTTAAAGGATTTTTAAAAACTAAATGAGATTAGGCCCGGCCGGTGTGGCTCAGTGGTTGAGCATGGACTCATGCACCAAGAGGTCACCAGTTCGATTTCCCAGTCAGGGCACATGCCCAGGTTGTGGGCCCGATCCCCAGTGGGGGGCGTGCAGGAGGCGGCCAATCAATGTTCTCTCTCGTTAATGTTTCTATCTCTCTCTCTCCTTCTCCTTTCCTTTCTCTCTAAAATCAATAAAGGAAAAAAAATTTTTTTTTAAACCTAAACGAGATTAAAATAATGTGATTAGAAAGCCACTTCAGTTTTTGGTGATTATGTCAATAAATTCATGTCTGAAATTCGAATAAGAAAATCACCAGAAGGTTATTTTCTATATTTGGCTCAGTTTTGTTTTTAAACACAAAAAACCCAATACCTCCTGTTTCTCTCATTCTCCATCCCCTCCCCCACGATCACACATTCAGTTGAAACCTAATCCCAACTGGCGTTCAGGTACAGCTTTCACGGAAGCCGCTTGAAGACCATGCTCCTTGGATTTCCACACATCTTCTAGCATCTTCTACGGGCGTCACAACCCCTGCACCTACTGACAACAGGTTGGTGGGGGACAGCAGGAGTGGGCCTCAAAACTCACCATGCAGCAGCAGGACCAGCATCCCGTGTCCTTTCACAAGCCTGGTGGCTTAGAACCACCCAGCTGTGGGATCCCTACCTGAGGGGAGAGAGCATAGGTCACCAGGTGCCTGGACACGCAGGCCCTCCCCGCACCTCCATACTTCCTCCTCGACTGCCCTGCTTTTCCCCCTCTTCTTCACACTCACTTTTCCCCCATAATCTTGGTGTTGGGTTAAGAAGAACCAATAACAACAGCTAATCAGAACCCCCCCCCAAGAAAAAACCCGACAGCTTGGATCTGTTTAGAAAACCCTGACAGCCACTCAGACGGACTCACTGACAACCCCATAGGGATATGAACAGAAAGGAAACCTCTGCAGAACAGCCTTAGTGAATAGTCTCCAAGTGTTGCTTACCATCCTGGGGGGTCGGCCTGTCCCCGCTCCTCCTCCTCCTCCGAGGCAGCCTTTGGCTCCCTCAGCCCATCCATCTTTCAAGTCTGGCAGCCACAGGCGCTAAAAATCGTCCAACAGATAAGGTGGGGGTGGTGCGCAGGGGGCGAGGAGGAATCGTTGCTTGTGCAGGTTTGAGTGCTTATTTTTCTTTCTCCAGATTTAATGGCAGGAAAATCCTGTATCAGATGAGGATTACCAGAGATGAAAGAATGTGTCTGCCTTTCGAATCACAAAGCCAGTGACAGATTTTGCTGACACACCAATCGGCTTTATCCCCAAGCCTCGGCCTCTCCAGCTGCCTGGCCCCTTTCTCTCCTTAAATCCTTTGCAGACCCAACCTCCTGCCCTGACCCCAGCCCCAACCCCAAGCAATACGCAGCCAGAAATTGGCTTCCTGCCACCCAAATAGCGTTATCAGCATTTTCCACGAGGACATGTTATATAACTCGGAGAAGTGGGGAATGGCCAGGGCAGCTTAAAATAATGATGTTTTCCCGAAATGCAGGCTGCTGATTTTCCTCTTTGGAGTGATTGATGCCACATTCATGACAATCAGGCTAGAGACCCAGTTCGGGGGTTGAGGCTGTGCTGGCCACCGCCCAAGGCAGCAGGTCCATGGGCCATTTTCAGAACGTGGCTGGGGTTTCTCAAATCCATCAGGACTCAGGCCCTTGCTACTCAGAGTGAGGGGCCCAGCAACCAGCAGCAGCGGTAACGTGGGGAGCTGGTTAGGTCTTTGGATGCTCAGCACCCCCCACCCCACCGCTATACCTCTGGAATCGGTACCTACATTTGAATAAGATTCTTACGCTCAGGGAAGTTCAGAAAGCCCCAGTTTAGGGGAGTGGTTAGGTCTGCTCAAGGTGTGACTGTGGTGCGGGTGTCCCCACATTTTTCTGGCCTCAGCATATCCATCAGGCCTGGCTATCTGCTCTGCTGGGATCCAACTCCCAGGTATCCATGGCAACCTGCCGTCCTGGCCACATTGGCTTTAGTGTTGGAGGCATCCTTTGCGGTCTTCATCCTGAACCTTGGCCCAACGAAGCCTCCCCTCACTCCCCCAGCAGCAGGCCAGAGGCTGAAACGTGGCCTCGTGAGCAGCCTGTCTGCACCTATAACCCTTGTCCTTGACTTATCGGGTCGACCTTGCGTTCAGTCTTCTCCAGGCTAGTGGGCCTGTTGCCCTGGGCCCAGGATCTCCCTGAGAAAGACCTTCTCTGCCTGTGAAATCACACACTTCTCCTTAGTGGCAAGTAAGGAACAATCAGAGGCTCTCAAGGGAGAAAGGAAGGCGCCCATCCTCCAGGTGACTCCAAATGGGGGACAAGCAGCCTTGGAATCAAAAACTTGTTCTCATGGTGGGGGGAGGGGGAGGAGGGAGGGGTTTTCGCAGGAAGTGCAATTGACTGGCATGCTCCCAAGAGTAACTTCAGACAGGGACCCTTTTATCCAAAGATCTACCTAGCCCAGCCCCCAGCCGCTCAGGGGCGGGCGGGGCAGTTTGCACCCTGCTGGCTCTTTGTCGCAACGCAAACAGCAGCTGATAAGAAGGGGCAGAAAAGGGGAGGAGGGCTGTGTGCTAAGCAAGTATGTGAAATAAAGGTGGCTTAGGATGCAACACTTTGCCTTTGCAGGTGGCCTTCTAGAAAAGCTTCCCTCCCGAGAGGGGGTGGTGGGAAGCCCCAGCATTTCTTTGTGATCGCTGCTGTATTGGTGGGGGACAGTCTGCAGGGACTCAGCAAGGAGCCTCTAATGAAAGGAAAAGACAGAATTCCTCCTTAGGTTCACGAGTTCAGATGGTCAGCAGCCTCTCAGAGGGGACTTGGATGTTAAACCAGATTCCTTCTATTCCTCTGATGCCCCTCCTCCTGCTCGCACACCCGTACACACACTCCAGAGACAAGACCATTCCACAGGGGCAGGGGCACAGGCACACTGTACCCTGACACCAAGTGGAACAAAGCCAGGTGCCCCAGTTCATCTGATACGAAACAAATGAGGCAAACTCAGTGATCAGTGATCGTCTCCTTCCACGCCTTTATTTACAGATGAGAATCCTCGGGCCCAACTGCAACACGAAATGTCCTTATGCTTCGTCCGGCTCCCCCAGCGGCAGATCCTGAGACAGGGATGCGAATGGAAGTACTTATTCGGGAGGTGATTGCAGAAAGAGCCAGCAGGGGAGTGGGGAAAGCAGAAACTGAAGGTGCTATCAAGCAAGTTTGCACTGTGGGCAAGTGCAGCCTAATCCGTGGCGAACTCTGGGCGATGATGTAGCGCTCACATCTCAGACTTCGCTCAACTGCAGGGTAGGGAGCTGGGGCGTTTATCCACCAACTTCCAGCCCTGGTAGAAGGCTGTTCCCAGGGGCAATGAGGGCTGGTTCATTCTGCAGCAGCCTCTGGCTACCAGGCAAAATGATGCAGATGCACTGATTCCTAAAGAAAGCTTTCTTCCGGGGTCATCTCTTTCAGCAAAACAGGGGGCAGAATTCCTTCTGAAAGCGTGGAGTAGCCAAATTTCCCCAGTTGGAATTGGTAAATGAGCGCTGATGACCAAGGTGGCATGATGGGTGGAACAGTATAGGAACTTTTGCCCAGTGCAGAGCTGCCCCGGGATGGGTTGTAGGGTCTCAACCTGATCTGATGGGCGAAGCTGCCCCTCACCAACTCCACAGCCTTTGTGTACTGTGGTCACAATTCGCAGATATTCCGACCCTGAATGGCAGGTCCCCAGGCCTCTGCTCCTTTCTTTTCCCACTTCACCACCTGCTGAAAACCTATCCTTCCTGGCAGGCTTAGCACACATGCTACCTTCTCTAAGAAATGAGCCCCTTCCTAGCACCTTCCCTCCTCCCACAGGCATCAGTCTTCCCGTTGATAGTGTTTGGATGGGCCAGGGCTGTACTTGACCCAAGTGCTCACACTGGGCAAGGTGAAGGAAGGCACAAGGGGCCAATGGACATGCCCACACAAAACTACATTCTGGCCCTGGCCGGTTTGGCTCAGCGGTTGGAGCGTCGGCCTGCGGTACAGAGAGACCCGGGTTCGGTTTCCGCTAAGGGCATGTACCTCGGTTGCAGTTTGTCCCCGGCCCTGGTTGGTCGTGCGGGTGGCAGCCACTCGATGTGTCCCTTCACATCGATGTTTCTCTCTCTCTCTTCCTCTCTCTCCCTCCCGCTCTATCTGAACAAAAAATGGAAAAATGTCCTCGGGTGAGGATAAAAAATAATAAAATAAAACTACATTCTGGGTACCTGGGGCCTCAGAACTCCCTGCCCAACAGACTCTGAACACACTTTTCCTAGTCCATCCTCCTGAGGGTAGACTGTGCCACTCACTACGGTGCACACTGGAGAAGTGGCCCTGTAGGAGGCGGCTGTTTGCACCCGAGGACATGCGTGGGAAAGGACCTTCGTGGTGGGGGGTGGACCGAGCTGAGTAGAGAGAGAAGCGACACTATGGACCTTGAGCTGGGGCCACTCACTTTGCCACCACGTTGCAGCTCAGAACTGGTAAAGAAGCGCCAATACGAAAACTCCAAACTTGAACCTGGCTTTCCAGATCGTTATGACAAGGTAGGGCAGAACATATTTTATTTAAGTTTCTTAGCTTGATTTATAACTTTTAAATATTTGGATATAGGGTATGTGGGCCCCTGTGTTCTCTTGCCCCAGGTCCCACAAACACTGAGGGTGAGCCTATGTTCCGCACACAGGCTGTGGTGTACAAATGGTTGCTAATGAGGCCCATGTGAATGTGCTGGGAGCTACCGGACAGAGAACTGGGATGAATGACGCTCCCGCCTTGGCCCCACCTTTTTCTCGGACTTACTGGGTCGACTCGGGACAGGCAACCTCACTTCCTGGGCCTTAGCCTACTTAAAACATACTCTATAATACAGTTGTTGTTTTTTATCCTCACCCTAGGACATTTTTCCATTTTTTTGTTCAGGTAGAGTGGGAGGGAGAGAGAGGAACAGAGAGAGAGAGAGAAACATCGATGTGAAAGGAACACATCGAGTGGCTGCCACCCGCACGACCGACCAGGGCCGGGGACAAACTGCAACCGAAGTACATGCCCTTAGCGGGAACCGAACCCGGGTCTCTCTCAGGACCGCAGGCCGACGCTCTAACCGCTGAGCCAAACCGGCCAGGGCTATAATCCAGTTCTGACCATCATTCTTCAAGTGAGGAAACTGAGGCCCACAAAGATTAAGTGACCTGCTCCCCAGGGTGACAGGTAGAGGTGGAGCTAGGACTCAGTCCAATTGTCTTCTAGCCCCTGGGTTTTTCAGACTCTAGCAAGACTGAGACACAAGGGCTCCCCATCCCTGCGGCCACCTCCACTGCCTGTATATGCAGTGGAAGGGGGAGACTCCTCTTCTTGCCAGGCACCCCTAAACTACCCGGACTGAACCCATCCTGTGGCTAAAGCACCTAACTCCTTTGTTCTCTACTGACAAACCATCCTCCTCCCCTTGTCCTTCCACATCCAACCTTCCGATCGAAACCCAGTTCCGTGGGGGCTGGATAGCCCAGCTTGGGATCAGGGGCCTTGTTTCTGGAATTGGGGACAGGGGAGGGGCTGAGAAAACAGCTTTTGTTCCGTTTTCCCCGGTGGAGTGACGTCGCCGCAACTGCAGGCCAGGACAGAGCCGGCGCGACTCGCGCCCCCTTCCGTCCCCCGGGGCGCAGGGCGCGCCACCGCGGTACCGGCGAGCAGGCGACAGCAGTCACGTGTCTGGACGTTGCAGCCCAGCCCCCTCCATCCGCCCCTCCCTGGGCGTCAGAAAACTAGTCCAGCTCGCTAACCCTGGTTGGCAGCCTCGCGTGACACAGTGGTTTTTTTTTGTCCCCTCCCCCCCTTAAGGTCCTGTCCTTGCGAAACCTCTGCAGCTTCTGCGGGCTTCCACCCGCCCGAGCCCCACCCCGGGGCGAAGAGGCCCGGCGGGGGCAGCTGAGCGCCTCCTCGCCAGGCGTGGCCGCCAGGGGGCGCTGAGGCCCTGGGACCGGGCGGGGCGGCTCCCGGCTCCCCGCCCCCGCCGGCTCCCCGCCCCCGCCGCGCCGGTCTCACCAGCTCCTGCGGGGCGGGGCCGGGCCGGGAAAGTCCCAGGGCGCGTCATTGCCGGAAACGTTAGTCATGCACCTGGGGCCGCACTGTGTCGGGCTGCAAGGGATGCCAGG